AGCGGCAAGAAAAACAACAACCATAGCAGATGATGATGCGGAGAGCAGTATTTATGTTTAACCATATTGAAAGGATTGAGTTTTTCTGGTTGGAAAAGACCGCTAGATGCGCGCCGGTACTACCATCCATGTTTACTTCCACAAACACAGAGCACGCTGGCCTGTGACGTCATTGCGTCCTCTACTGTGCATGCGGGACACTTGCGTTGTATGACTGCAGTTAACACAGGAGATCACATACAAGTTGCATATATTTGGAAATATGAACGGCAACACAAATAAATTTCGAATTTCACAAAAAAAATGGAATTGAGCATCAAGGCCTGCACTGTGAACATAGCCAAAGAAAGGACTACTGAGCTGATTGGGAGCAGGTGTGAACAGAGGGGTCTAGAAGGAAGCCAGGAAAAAGGAGACCGACACCAGAGGACAACAGAGGGTCACCAATAAATACCTAAGAACTCAGATATATCCAGAAAACACCAGAAAATAGGAATTAAACCAATAAAACTAGAAAAGAAAGAAAAACATGGATCAAAGTGAAACTGAATACTCAAAAGAAAACTTAACAAAACCAAGACAGTGACATCATTAAAACGTTTTTATTTTCTGTGCTGAGATTAAATGTGTGCGCAGAAAAAAAGCTAATGATAAAACAGCTCGTATATTATTTAGTACTTTTCTAGATTGAGAAAGTCACTCTGTGCTTGTTTTCCTGAGGTCCTTTAGTATCCGCTGTCTAATAAGAATTCTGGATATCAAACACTTTGGCGTTCTTCTCTCAGATGGCACTTTGGAGACGGTGATCACCTATGACCAAGGAGCCAAGTGGCAGCCACTGCGCAGACCCCAGAACAGCAACTGCGACACGGAAACCTCCACCAACAGACCAAACAGAGTGAGAGCCGCTCCTCGTGCTGCAAAATGTCTATTTTGGTGAAGATGTTATCAGCGCTGCCTGTCTTTCTTTCACAGTGCAAACTTTACATATATGCCTCGCACGGCACCGCCATGAAGGTGAAGGTCCCCGTTCTGCCGCTCTCGCAGCCCAACGCGGTTGGTCTCATCCTGGCTCACGGTAGGACAGACACCTACAGCTCCTTCAGTCAGAGCCTTCTGCTCAGTTAGTCGTCACACCGCCTCCCTCCTCTCTCTCTCTACAGGCAGTGTTGGAGATTCAGAGTCTTCTCTTCCTCCTGACGTGTTCGTCTCCGATGATGGGGGCTACTCTTGGCTGCAGGCTCTGAAGGGCCCCCATCATTATGCTATCCTGGACTCTGGAGGGCTGCTGGTAGCTGTGGAGCACACCGACCTACCCATCAACCAGATAAAGTGAGATTTCTATGTTGATTTCTATATGGATTTATTTCAGTCTTTGGATTTTTACCTCCACAATTGTTTATAATTGGCAAGTAATTAGGGGTTGAATAAATCATAGTTTCGGACAATTTTTAAAAACAATTTTGGTAGAAGAGTTAAACTGTTTGGATTATAGTTAAAGCCATCCTAAAATCCACTCAGAAAACATGAAATAAATAACGGTAAAATATTTACCAATATAGACATGTTAGACATAGCTGGAAAGCTTAGATTGTCCCAAATTCAACCACAAAGTTCATTTTATGGACATAGCGAGCACCAAAGCACAATTAAGACAGATATAGCAACATGTCAAAATGTAAACATGACAAATAAGTACTTTCGTACCTTTGAAGGCGTCCAGAAGCCAAATTATAAATCCAGTCTTCAATTGTTTGTACTCCATTCGTCCATAAGGGTCAACAGATTAAATTCCGCATGATTTTTCCATGTTTTTTTTACTGGCTGGAAGAAACAGTTTCCTCCAGTTTCTTCCTGAAGAAACTTGGAAGGTCAAATTTATTAGAAAGTTTTGTTTGTTTTAGTGAATATTTTTGCCTTAACCTCTTTATATCCACCTTATTTCTGGGAAATTCGCCTTTTTTGCATACCAAAATGGAAAAGCAAATAAATGAGGAACTGTAAGCCCAAATTACATGTGTGATACGTTATTTGAAAGCTAACACCTTCTAGTTTCTGAAAATATATACATGAAAATTGATTGAGTAAAACATTCAAGCTGCATTACCCCCAAGCTGCATCAGTTCAAACAAGAGTCAAAATAGTTTTTTTTTATTCTTTAAAATAATAGGTCTTTTTTTGAACAGCAGTAATAAAGACATGCTTGCTTATTGTGGCTGCTTTGTCATGCTACATTTCGACATGCTGCTATAAATATGCTTTGTTGCTCGCTATGTGCATAAAATGAACTAGGCGGTTGAATTGCGGAGAATCTAAGCTTTCCAACGATGTATAACATATTGGTAGACATTTTACCAGTGTAATTTTCATGCATTCTGAGTTATTTGTAAACGCTTTAAAACGGTTTTGAGAGGTTGAGCAGGCCCAAACCCAGTAATAACCTTAATTTTGGGATCCAATATCTATAAACCAGGGTGCTTTAGGGGCATGAATAGCAGAAGAATTTTCCTATCATTTAAAGGTTATTAGTAAATGATCACTTCTGTATTAAATATGTAATACCCTGATGGGTTTTCTCTGGTGGGTCTTCCCCCAGGATGTTTCCTTTATTATATTATATAAATTCCTTTGGATGTCTCCATATGTAGCCTGGTGGATTTAGTGATTGACCTTTCAACGGAACTATCCCGGTGCTGTTAAATATGATCTTTTACCTAGATTTTTCTTCCAATTTCCATCCATCCATCCATCCATCCATCCATCCATCCATCCATCCATCCATCCATCCATCCATCCATCCATCCATCCATCCANGATGGAGCTCAAAGGGCCCGGGCCTGCATATGGCAGCCTCGTTTCTGTCAGCGAGCCCCAGGGCAGCTGTGGCTACAATGTAGTTTGCCACCATCAGTGTGTCAGTGAATGGGGGAATAACTAAATCACATGCGTAGCTCATACAATGATCCACCCAGAAAAAAAACATCCTCAGCTATTCCCTTAAACAAAGAGCCTTGTCATTTCCCCAAAACCTTTTTTCTGACGCTTTACAACTTTTATCCTAAGATCCAAGACTTTATCCTTAAGACTTTTTTTCTTGAGACCTGAGGATCTTTTGTCAGGGTCTGGTTGAGGTTTTGAGGACCCAAATGCAGAGGCAAGGAGGCAGAGGTGAGTTCTTGAAGATTTAATTAAATAACTGAGGCAAAAACCAAAGAACAAAATACAAGCAACCAAAAACCAGACTACTACAGGGGAAAACACACTTGGGGAGCCAGGAAAAGAGTCTGAACAACACAGATCTGATTTTTTTCCAATGCGACCCAGGCCACTTGAATGCTGAATCCGTTACAAATCCAATCTTTTCAAATGGCACGTGCATCTGAACGTCCAGGATGCATTCATCTGACCTGAACGCCATTAATACCCGATAAAGGTCACTATTCTGTGTCTTGCTATGAAGTAGCGGCAAGAAAAACAACAACCATAGCAGATGATGATGCGGAGAGCAGTATTTATGTTTAACCATATTGAAAGGATTGAGTTTTTCTGGTTGGAAAAGACCGCTAGATGCGCGCCGGTACTACCATCCATGTTTACTTCCACAAACACAGAGCACGCTGGCCTGTGACGTCATTGCGTCCTCTACTGTGCATGCGGGACACTTGCGTTGTATGACTGCAGTTAACACAGGAGATCACATACAAGTTGCATATATTTGGAAATATGAACGGCAACACAAATAAATTTCGAATTTCACAAAAAAAATGGAATTGAGCATCAAGGCCTGCACTGTGAACATAGCCAAAGAAAGGACTACTGAGCTGATTGGGAGCAGGTGTGAACAGAGGGGTCTAGAAGGAAGCCAGGAAAAAGGAGACCGACACCAGAGGACAACAGAGGGTCACCAATAAATACCTAAGAACTCAGATATATCCAGAAAACACCAGAAAATAGGAATTAAACCAATAAAACTAGAAAAGAAAGAAAAACATGGATCAAAGTGAAACTGAATACTCAAAAGAAAACTTAACAAAACCAAGACAGTGACATCATTAAAACGTTTTTATTTTCTGTGCTGAGATTAAATGTGTGCGCAGAAAAAAAGCTAATGATAAAACAGCTCGTATATTATTTAGTACTTTTCTAGATTGAGAAAGTCACTCTGTGCTTGTTTTCCTGAGGTCCTTTAGTATCCGCTGTCTAATAAGAATTCTGGATATCAAACACTTTGGCGTTCTTCTCTCAGATGGCACTTTGGAGACGGTGATCACCTATGACCAAGGAGCCAAGTGGCAGCCACTGCGCAGACCCCAGAACAGCAACTGCGACACGGAAACCTCCACCAACAGACCAAACAGAGTGAGAGCCGCTCCTCGTGCTGCAAAATGTCTATTTTGGTGAAGATGTTATCAGCGCTGCCTGTCTTTCTTTCACAGTGCAAACTTTACATATATGCCTCGCACGGCACCGCCATGAAGGTGAAGGTCCCCGTTCTGCCGCTCTCGCAGCCCAACGCGGTTGGTCTCATCCTGGCTCACGGTAGGACAGACACCTACAGCTCCTTCAGTCAGAGCCTTCTGCTCAGTTAGTCGTCACACCGCCTCCCTCCTCTCTCTCTCTACAGGCAGTGTTGGAGATTCAGAGTCTTCTCTTCCTCCTGACGTGTTCGTCTCCGATGATGGGGGCTACTCTTGGCTGCAGGCTCTGAAGGGCCCCCATCATTATGCTATCCTGGACTCTGGAGGGCTGCTGGTAGCTGTGGAGCACACCGACCTACCCATCAACCAGATAAAGTGAGATTTCTATGTTGATTTCTATATGGATTTATTTCAGTCTTTTGATTTTTACCTCCACAATTGTTATAATTAGCAAGTAATTAGGGGTTGAATAAATCATAGTTTCACACAATTTTTAAAAACAATTTTGGTAGAAGAGTTAAACTGTTTGGATTATAGTTAAAGCCCTCCTAAAACACTCAGAACCCACTCAGAAAACATGAAAATAATAACAGTAAAATATTTACCAATATAGACATGTTAGACATCGCTGGAAAGCTTAGATTGTCTCAAATTCAACCACCAAGTTCATTTTATGGACATAGCGAGCACCAAAGCACAATTAAGACAGATATAGCAACATGTCAAAATGTAAACATGACAAATAAGTACTTTCGTACCTTTTAAGGCGTCCAGAAGCCAAATTATAAATCCAATCTTCAATTGTTTGTACTCCATTCGTCCATAAGGGTCAACAGATTAAAAGTAATCCAGAATATTCTTAATAAAAATATTCCATGATGAGAAAAAAGACACATAACGTCAGATTTTTGATGTCATAAAAGTTAGCCGGTCATAGCTAATGCTTCGGATGTTGCTAGTTAGACTTTATTCCTCAAACATTTGTCTGCGATGTCTCCTTGCTCCTTCCCTGTCAGCCAATGATGCACAGTAGTTATTCCCTTAATTAAAAGGTTTATATTTATTTTTTAATGGAGAACGTTTTCACAGTTCAACAATGAATAAGTGGAAAAATACTTGCTTCATAAATGTTTTGTGGCCATCAAAAACCTTTAGTGTTATTCTATGGTTTAAATAGTTGAGTAAAAGCTTTTGGCACAATCTGGCACATTTGGAGAGGTTTCAAGACGCTGGTGAAGCCAAAAGACACATTTTCTACCTAGAGGTCTGACATTTTCTGCAGTGGGGGTTGACAAGATGTAGAACAAATGTAATACAATTAGACACGCTATTCTCAAGCATGTTCTCTGTTCCTGCTGTTCAAAAAGACCTATTATTTAAGAGAAGAAAAACCCCCAACTTTGAGTCATGTTTGAACTGATACTGTTTTAGTCAAACTATTTTCATATTTTCAGAAACTAGAAGGTGTTAGCTTCCCAATGATGTATCGCACATATAATTTGGACTTACAGTTCCTGGGTTATTTGCTTTTCCATTTGGGTATGGAAAGCAAATAACCCAAAATTAGGTGGTTTTTAAGAGGTTAAAAAAGCCTTTCTCTAGTGGGCCAGGAATTAATTTAGGACTGAAGTTTTAATTAGGTTTTGATCTGGATTATTTTGTTGTGTTTTTTGTTAGATATCTGATTTATGTGTAAAACTTTCACACTCATCCTGTCTTCCCAGGTAAACTGAAAATATTTTACCGCCACTGGACATTCATATTCAAGGAGAATAAAGAAACAGTTGGAACTGTATTTCAGTCATTTGCAGCGTAGTGGCTGCATCATGCTGTGGGGATGCGTCAAACCACAGTTTACTAGAACTATATTGCTTGCAAGTCTTTTCAGTTGTCTCTGAATATGTAGAGATTGATTTTTTATTTTTCAATTTTTCATGTATATAAAGAAAGAACACAAGTGAGGGTCTTTGGCATATAAAATATAGAAATAAACATGATTTGCATCATCTCACGGTCCGGAGTTACAACTGATTGGCTTCCAGATCACAAGTGACAGCTTTTATGAGTCTTTAAATATATGACTACTGAATTTTTTTTTAGAGTCTCTCTCCTTCTGGAGACGCAGTGAAAAAGAGTCAAAGTCTCCTCCAGGGTTTACTGCTGGATCGTTGCCCCGCCCAATACTGGTATCGCTGCAACACTAGTTGCATTGACAGTGATGGAGCTGTTGTAACTCATGGATATTGTTTAAACTGAATGATCTTGAAGCAATGGCTGTTTGTAACTTCCTGCTGGCCTGGCAGTTAAACTGTTAGACGAGTCTTATGTCTTTTGCAGGACTGTCAAGAATTTAGCTTCATCCCTCTTCTCATCTAGTCTTACTGAGCTTTCCTGGCCCATCCAAAGAAAAGCTTTACCCGAAGCTGAAAAACTTCATCATGCCATTATTAGTTGCTCTTGTCTTTATTTGGGACTGAGGTGTTGATTATAAATGTGTGCCGCACTTTTCAGAATTTGATTTGAGAAAAAAAAAGTTTTAATCATATTCCTTCCACGTTAATGATTGCATTAATTTGTCTTCCTGTTATATATAAAACAGGTATAGTAAAGTATGTTCTTTTTCCGGGTGGATCATCTAAATAAGTGGTCCGCCTAATTGTCAATCATTCTGGTGATATATTTATGTAGGGCTGTCCTACGTGCTCGTCCCCATTTTCACTTACTGATGGTGAGTCTAATGTAGTAGAAAAATGCAATTCTTTTGGAAAGTAAACTTGTATGAGCGATGCAAACAGCATCCTTTCAACAGAACGTGCAAGAGCCCATTTTTCCTCGTGCACGCTCTCGCACGCGTTTGATAGGCGTTCCCTCTGGGGAGCGGGTACAGGGTTGTGCATGTGCATTTTTATTTTTTAAGGTGGGGAGGGCGGGTCTTTTCAAAAATGTGCGAAAATCCTCCACTATATCTTTAATACCATACCATACCATACCAACTTTATTTATGAAGCACTTTATGCACCGGACAGGACCAAAGTGCTGTACACAATCATAAAATACAATAAAATTATAAAATAGAGAAAAAACGAGTGTAATATACATATTAGTATACAAAAAGAATAAAACAAAGTAAAACCTCTCAAATTGTGCTAAAAGCCAAGGATTTGTTTTGTTTCCAGCTGAGGCACCAATGTCCAGCAATGTTTGGCGATCATACACAATCAGAGAGTTTACATTTGTAATAAAATGAAAACCTGACAGGAGACAGAAACAAAACAGGAGGAGAGTCAGACGGCAAGCCTCAAACACTGGCGCCATCTTCCCAATACATTTGCTTTTGTGTTGGTATTTTAAGGAAGTGTGGAAAATGTTTGAAACTCTACTCGCTCCGTTTCAGGTTTTCCACAGATGAGGGTCAATGCTGGCACACGTTTAACTTCACCAACGACCCGCTTTACTTCAGCGGCATGGACAGCGAGCCTGGCGCTCGCTCCACCAACGTCAGCCTTTGGGGCCACAGGAACGATCACACTAAGTGGGTGGTGATCACTGTAGACTTCAGGAAGCTCCTCACCAGAGACTGTGAGTATAGTTGAGAGACATCAGTGATGTTGAATCACATGTGTGCTTAAACTGGATTTTGTTGTGCAGGCAATGAAGGGGACTATGAAGAGTGGCTGGCCCACTCTGCAGACCCCAGTGGATCCAACATTGGCTGCGTAATGGGCTATAAAGAGACCTTTCTACGTCTGAGAAAGGATTCGGTGTGCTGGAACGGGAGAGACTTCGCAGTTACCAAGAAGCAGACACGCTGTCCGTGCTCGGTGGCAGATTATTATTGGTTTGTCCTTTTCTTTCCAGCCCCCTCAACTAAATAAGACTGTACAAGAATAAATTGTAACTTTCTATTTATGATATTTCTGTAAAGAAATCAGGGTGCAACTAACAATTATTTTGCAAATCAATGAATCCGTTGATGGTTTTTTCGATCAATCAATTAATAAAGTAAAAGGTTCCTTAAGGAAGATTTTTTACGAGATTAAACCAGGGGAAAGTAAAACTTTTCCACTTGAGGAGTTCTCGATAGAGCATATTGACAGAAGAAAACTTTTTTTTTTTGTCTCTATACTCCAATTAATGATTAATCGATTAATTAGTAATCAATTAGTTACAATTATTTCAATAATTAACCATGATTTATCAGATAAATTGTTTCAGCCCTAAAAGAAATACAAACAAATTATTTTGGGTAAAGAAGATTTGCAATTTTTCCACTATGTCAGACTCACCACTGGTAGGTATAAATAGGGACGAGCATGTAGGACGGCCTTATGTAAACATATCACTAGAATGATTGACATTTAGGAGGACCACTTATTTTGATGATCCGCCTGGAAAAAAGAACATCCTCCACTATAGCTTTAAGCTATATTATTTGACTTAATTTTCAGAAAATAAAAGTTTCATGACAAATGTACCACTTTGAAAAATTATGTTTTGATTGACATAAATTAGGAAACTGCAAGAAAAAAAAAGTGGAATTCCCAAACTTACCAAAACAAGGCTGAACTAGTAGCTAAGGTAACTGAGTTGGGTAGAAGATCACTAAAAAGCAGCTTGTTGTCACTGAACCTCCATTGCAACCATGTATTTTAAGGTTTTAGTCAACAGCTTTTTACAGATGTACCAGTTTGTTTTGTTTTTGAGTAATTAAATGTTTTCCCCTGCAGTGACTTTGGTTACTACCGGCCTGAAAACAGCTCAGAGTGTGTGGAGCAGGAGGAGATGATAAGCCGTGCTTTGGAGTTCTGTTTAAACGGGACCACTGAGCAGCTGCAGACCACTGGGTGAGGATGCCGCTCACCATATCTTCACCTCCATTTGAAACTCAGCCTCGGTTTCTGTTACCGTAGCAACATTCTCCCCAGAGCTAACCTGGGTGGGCGCAGGTTTTTCCTCAATAAACTGTCCTCTGCCTCTGCCAGTTTTGATATTTCATTTGATCTTTTTATTCCATTTGGAAAGAATTTATCAACTTTTTTCATCTATCAGAAATCTTTATTGTTATGATGAAATTTTTTGCAGTCATAAACTTTTTGAATCATAGTTTGTTATTTTAATGTTTGTTAATGAAGCCACAATTTGGCTACCAATTCTAAAAAGACATCTGAACTTTTTGCAAGTCCTTTTTTTAACTTTGCAGTGTTTGATGTTTTAAGAACAAGCCTGTCCTCTGGGCACATTTTACATGCTAGTTTGTTTACATACCATAATCCTTTGGTTTTAAACTTTTCTTGGTGGTTAGTTAATCTAACAAAAGCTAGTGGCAGCAAACCATATTGCGATAAACAAACTACAATTCTTTAAGTCATAAAACTACCTAAAAAGTGTAATTATTTTCTGTTAATTTTGCTAAATAACTGAATATTGCATTGCCTTCACTATGTTTTGATGACCTTTTAAAATTGGTAATTTTTCAGTTAATTTCGACTATTGGAAGTTAATAGTCTAGTTCCCCTAGTGGTTAAAAGTTTCACAGTGTTGCTTTGATATTCTAACATTTACCTAAAGCATTTTTTCTAAACAGTCAGGAGGAAGAAAGTTTTTTTTTTTCCTTTGGCTCAGTTACTACCTTAAGTTGTCCTGTTTTTTTCTCATCTAAAATCTGTGTGTTACTCATCTTCAAATTGAAGCTACCGGAAGATTCCTGGGAATCAGTGTGAGGGAGGTTTTCAGCCGGAAAGAAAGGAAATTGACTTACAAAGGTTGTGCACCAGCGACGCCCTTCTTCCCAAAACTCAGGTGAGTTTTTCTTAGTCCTAGAGAGCAAGCCGCCTGCAAGGTTACATGCACAGGAAACTGTGATCTGCTCATTCGGATGATCTGCTCTCTCTACTGTCAGCAGTAAATAACTACACCTATTCAACACAGGCGGGCGGTGTTAACCACTCACTGACATGGCATGTAAAACATAGAGACATTAGCCCCATTTACACTATCGGTCTGAGCGCGGTAACCGAGATAACTGTTGAGTGTAATTAGCACACACAACGTAACTGCGCTAAACTGGTACTAGTTCATCAGTAGGGCTCGGCGCAGTTCAGTTCTGGCTCAGTTATCTGACAACAATGGCTATGTTCACACTGCAGGCCTTGATGCTCAATTCCGATTTCTTTGTGAAATTAAATTTTTTTTGCGTTGCTGTTCATATTTCCAAATATATGCGACTTGTATGTGATCTCCTGTGTGAACTGCAGTCATACAACGCAAGTGTCCCGCATGCGCAGTAGAGGATGCAATGATGTCACAGGCCAGCGTGCGGATGGTAGTGCCGGTGCGCATCTAGCAGTCTTTTCCAATCATAAAAACTCAATCTTTTCCAGATGAAAACAATGATTTCCAGTAAAGATGCTGCTTAGCAGTGTGATGAACCTCAACGTCTGTCTTAGTTTCCTGCGTCGGTAAGCCCTGACTAAACTATCGCTTGTCGTATCCACTTCCTTTTGGGAGGTGGATACGACCAAATTCACCAAAGGCTGCCTTCTTCGCCTGACTCTCCGCAAACTTCCTGAATGTAAGAGGCCCGGCCATGTTGATTTGCTTGTTAACCTCTAGAGAGCAGTAGTACCGTAGATCTAGCTAGCATGGAGCAAAATGGTCATAAGGACCCGAGCTCGGCACGGTTGACTGATCTAAGCTCGGCACGGATCAGTTTTCAGAGGGTAGTGTAAATGGGACCATAGATTATTGTGCAACAGAATTAAAATAGCCTCTCTATTCTAACTTGCAAAGCACAAAAAGCTACTTCATTATGGATACAATGTTTTCCATTATTGCTGTAGCCAAAGGATATATTTTATGTATGGTAATTCAAAGAAAAAAAAGACAATCCAGAAATGGAACTTTGACAAACTTCTTCATCAAAAAGGTTTTGGAAGTAACTTTTCAGTTTCCCCAGATTTTATTTATTTATTTATTTATTTATTTATTTATTTATTTATTTATTTATTTATTTATTTATTTATTTATTTATGTTATTTCTTTTACAAATTGTTTTTTTTTTTTTTCTTTTTTGACATTTCTTTACAAACGAAATTTTCACATTTCTTTTTTTTTTCCCATGTAGTTTAATGAATCATATCTTTTCAAATTGCGCTTTGGTATTAGTCAATGTGCTCTTGACGCACACATTTAACCAACAAAAAGTTGTTGCTAACCTTAATGGTGACCAGGAGAGAGAGAGAACAGCTGTTAGCCTGAATATGCTTTCTTAGCATTACCAAATGCAACTAGGAAAAAAAACAGTAGAGGTGGGTTTTCCTGAAAAGTAATTAATCACAGGCAGTTTAGTTTCTCATGTTGGTTCCACCCTCAAAGTGATAAAAGTGAACATGAGCGCACATAAACCAGTCCTCATGATAGAAGTAGAGAATCTACAGGAGCATAAAAAGCAAGAGAGCGCAGAGAAGGAGCATGAAGTCATGCTGGCGACATATTGAGGCTCCAGGGTGGTGCTGAATCCTGACTCATGAAACATTCAAGTCAGCATGAAGATTGGTGTGTTTGTTTTAGATAAAATTGCTCATATAAGCATTTAATATACCCATGTGCAGAATTCTGACTTCCTTCATATCCCTCTGGGATCACATCACAATAATAGAAAAAATCGTCTTGTGACCTCCCACTTAGTGTTTTGTGAACCCCCCCTCCTCAGAGGCTGCAGACCCTCGCTGTGGGAACCTCTGAGGAGGAAAATAAATCTTCAAAGTTCACTGTTAAGAGAACCTTAGGACATAGAGGCCTCTTTGTTTGCCCACTCTCCATAGCAGTCATTTATATTAGGATTAGGAAGATACAGGATGGTAAAGGGTGTAAAAAACAGAAAAAGCTGAGATGACTGTGGAATCACCAAGTCTCCATAGCAACCATTTATATTACAAATAATACAGTACAGTGCTATGATGGTATGCCATAATGCATAATGTTTTATGTTGTTTTACATTTGTTCTTTTAAAGCTTTTAACCTTTTTTTTTTCACATAAAACAACAGACTGGCAGTGGTTCGACCAGCACTGCTATCACAGTGGTGGTTGTCATGGCGATTCTTCTGATGAGTGCCATTGCAGGTGTTTGGCTGGTCAAGAAGTACGTCTGCGGAGGACGGTCAGTTTTTCTCATCTGGTCACCCATGACCTCAGCATTGTGCGCATTCCTCTTGTTGTTCCTCTAACTGATGGTGCCATGTTTTCTCACCAGGTTCCTTGTGCACCGATACTCTGTCATGAGGGAACAAGTGGAAGCAAACAAAATAGAGGGAGTGGATGATGTTGACACTAACTACATGGAGACAGAGAAAACACATTTTAATGATGATTCAGATCAAGTGAGTAAAATAACATGAAGATAGATGGAAATATATCCACATGACAATATGGTCTCTTTTTACAATCTGTATGGATAGAACTCTAATAATTTGACAATTTTTTTATCTTAACTAATCTATTAAAGATCTGAAAGATGAACCTCAACTTAAGTCTGTTATAGCACCAAACGAGATTCATTAAGAATTACCCTGTATTTAGCTCCAACTGTGACCAGTCTCATGGTTGGTGCAGAAAAATTAAGTCCCCACAGCATGATGCTGCCTCTGCCAAATTCCACTACACCCACCCACACTGTTTTTAGGAGGACCTGCACTGTTAGATTTGTTGTCAGCCCGTAAACAAACCGCCTTGTGTAGGAGGTACTCGTCAGCAGAGAGCAGCAGCCCGTTGGTTCTTCCTTGGTGTCGTAGTTAGCTTGTCGCAGGTATGACACAGATGTTTTTGATTTATGCCCAATATTGAAGCATGGTTTGCACTATGTTATTCCACGCCACAACGCAAGAGGGCCGATCAGGAACTAGCTGTGGGTCTAGATACGGCCAAGCGGTGAGGAAGTGGGGGCAAGTTTGTGCAACAATGGAGTGACATGAGGGCGAAAAAGAGTGGGGATCCAGGTGGAAAAAGGGTCCCAGCGTTAACTGTGACACCTGGTTTCTGAGTATAAACCAGCCTTTAGCCAAAAGCATAACATAGATGCAGTAACCCCTTTTTAACCAGAGGAGGGAGCCAAACAGTCATTTTTTTTGTGCCTGTGTTTGTTTTTGTTTTTTACACAAAAGGGGAATCAAATTGTCCAAATAAGGCCTCAGACATGCAGACAAAACAAGATGAGATCTATTTATGTATTTATATACACGGTTAAATATCAGTAAAAAAGTTAATTTAGAGGTAAGTAACTTTAACTTAACATAACTGCAGTATCCTCCTCCCCAATTCTTCGTTTGCACTAGATTTTATTTTTGGGTATCAGACAAAACAGATCCACATCACACCTTTTAGACTTTTAGGTATAAAGAAAGGGAAACTTTGCTAATATCAAAGCTTGGTTACCCGGTTTGTTTCTCTTTATAGGATCTCTTGGAATAAAGCTGGTCCACATAAAGGCTTTTATGATGGTTTGGGGATTCCTTTCCTCCAACATCTGTTTTTCACCCCTCACTGCCCCCTGGTGGATGGATGTCCCTGCAGCAAAAAGTGCTAATATGTTGAGCTTTTATATAACTTTTGGCTTCTTCATAATTGTGAGAGCTGGTGTTGGACAGAGAAAACCCCTTTGGACCAGTGGACCTATCCGGATATTTAAGGGAGCAGCCAAGCAACAGAACATGTTTTATAAGCAGCATTAAACATTCAGAGCGCTATCCTGCTGTTATTTTAGTACTTTGTAAATGTAAAAACTGCCAGATGCTTGTCACCACCTTCTGGAATTTCTTAAAAGCTGGATGTTATTGTTTTTTCATAGGGATTTCTATTTTAAAGACAATGTTATCTGTATTTTCTCATTTAATCCTCACTTGTATTTATTGGATTTAAGTCACGTTTTTATTGCTCACCCCAACTGTTGAAAAGTAAGCTAAATATTTTAGTCTATTTGCAGCAAGAGAGGCAACTAGCTTCAATGAGTCTAATTCAAAACTGAGAATTTTATTGAGTATAGGTAAATTTGTGCTTCAGTTAAATCAAACATTTGGCCAAACGAATGTTAAAGTGACCTAAAACCATCAGTCCTGGGAACACATTAATTTTATCATTATAAATCATATAAACTATTATTGCTCCTTTAAGTAAAACGAAATATGCTCATATTCACTTTTGGGGACATTTTATAAAAATGTTGTCTCGAAGAAAAGATTGGTATAATAGTTAGAGTAAAATATATATCCTGAAAGCTCTCAAAAAGAATTTTTACAAAGCTGCTTCTAATGGATGATCCTGAGATTTTTATATTAACAATTGTGTAATAATGACCCCTCTGGAAATAATTGCATGTAACAGTTTATTTAAACACTTTAAAAATTTGAGTAATCACCTACTGACAGCTACTTTAGACGTCCAACTTAAACGTCCAGGTTAGATACTGTATATTTTCAAGGTCTTTTGTACATGTGTACCCTTCTTTTTTAAAATGGTTCACCTGCATATGCTGGAACCATGTCTGCAGCATTTGTCTCTGAAACATTTTACCTTGAATTTATCCAACCAATTGTTTCCTTTTACCTTTTTAATTGTGAGTGAAATATAAACACAATATTATATCCATTCATTCATTCAGCTGTTTCTAAACACAGCACCCTCTACAGTTATTGGCACGTTTGACTAAGAATTTAAAAATATTTGTGTTTCTTTGCAGAAGCATAATCTAATTCTTAATATTGAAAAGTGGCCCCTTGGTTGTTTATTTAGCTTGGAGAAAGATAATCATTTTAATTAAAATTATTCATGCCAAAATTACTGTCAATGCAAAGATTACCATACAGCAGATTTAACTGAAGCATCGCCGTGATTTATGCCTCACTTTTAAAGCTTTTCAAAGATGTTAGGAACAGTAAATTGGAACTTTTCTTTCCATTGAGTAGAAATATGACGTTACACCGAGTTCCACTACAACAGGCCAATCTATTGAAACAGACTTTTCTTAAACTCATTTTTTTAAGCTTTCTATTAGAAAAAATGCTTTTGGGCATGCAGGTGGTGCAGCGGTTAGCGCGCATGACCCGTGTACGGAGGCATTAGTCCTTGACGCGACCAACCTGGGTTCGAATCCGACCTGTGGTCCTTTCCCGCATTTCTCTACCTCTCTTTCTCATATCCCCTTTCCTGTCAGCCTTAAATGATTCACTAGTGCTGCAAAAAACAAAAAAAAATAAAGAAAATTTGCTTTGGCAAAATAACATTTTATTATAAACTGAGTGGAACAGAAGCATATTTTAAGGTATACATTATTTTCATACGTTAATCAGTTTGTTCAGGATCTTAGTAATCTCTGAGTTCCCAGGTGTAAATTGAAAAAATGCTGAGCTTCATTAGTAGGGATATATAGACTTACCTTAATAAGCTGTATCTGCAGTCAGAGCAATAATGACAAAAATGTTAGAATGTAAAAGAAGTCTGTCTGAGGATCTAATTATATCTTGGCACCACACACAGGGAGAAGGAATAAAAATATAAACTCCAAAGCTCACATGTGAGAACACATTTTTCAACACTATTTATTCATCTCTACAGGAGCCGACAAAAAGTATAGAGGGTGTTATTGGATTTAAAAAGTTTATAAGTGTAGAAGTTGATATGTAATTAATGGGACAGTTCTTAAACAGATTAAAAAGATTTTTCATACATGAACAAATAATGCTACACATTATGCTCACTAGAATGTTTTTTTTCTTTACCCTTTTGTGGGAGGTGACAATCTGAACTTAAATGTTAACTTTAAGGATATAAAATGTGCTTCCTTTTCTTTTTTCTTCTTCTGCTCGCATGGTGAGAAATGAAAGACTTGAATTGTTGCCAAAGCACTTTGATTGTGAGTTTTTCTGATGTTTCGGGTGAAGTTAAAAAGACTTAACCCAGTTTTAGCCTACTTAGCATTTCATGGACAATAATGCTAATACAAACTTGAACTCATACCTTTGTCCTGATGAAGTCAAAGCAGGTACTAAAAAAATCTACGTATTTGATGTTAAATGTGGAGGAATCCAACATCACTTAAGTTGTACTTTTTACAGTCATTAGAACTCCTTTATGTTTGCTTTTCTGCTGGCTTGTTATAATTAGATTTCATTGTGTTTTAGTTGATTAACTGATTCTGATTTTTTTTTTCTGTACACTTGTTGCATATGTTTTGTTTTTTTTTTTGCTTGTAAAACGTGGAACATTAGTCAAACACACAGGGTTCTACAGTCAACATTTGTATTAGCTAGCAGAGGCATTTAATCCCAGTAAATAAGCTACACAGTGCTAAGCAGGCCTGATACTGAGGGATTTTCTCAAAATACGTCGGCTTTCTGCAAGCAAATCAAAAATGCCCGATACGTCCTAATTTACTCCATGGTCAGTGAGAGTAAACCCAGCTATTTACTGGACTGAGTGTGACTTTTATTTTGCACTGTATTCAGATCTGTGAAAGTTTTGAAATGATTGTACAGCTGACATTCTGACCGAGAGGTGTTTCCCATCATGATTTCCTCACTGCTGGGATGTTAAGAGGTCTCTGGGTTGAACTGTGGTACAGATGTTTTGTATCAGTTTTTGCATTTATGGATTAAAAAAACAAAAAAACGTGTGTATGCTTGATTTTTTTAAATTATGCTTTTTTTGTTAGTGTATTTAAAAACATTTATATAACATATATTATTAAGTGTCTATTATATATGTTTATTTCTGAAGCTCTTGGGCAATCTTTAAAAGTATGAACTCTAATGTGGGATAAAGAACAAAGAAAAATGTCAGAATTTCCATATTTTATTCATATGATAAAGCACCTTTTTTAATGTTAGCATTATTTATATTCTTGTTTAACCAATGTCTACATCTAGCTTAAAGATCAGCCTTATTGGTTGTGTGGGAGTAGGATGCACTTTGTTTCTCCTGAGCAATGGTAAATAGTATGTAGTAGACTAAATAAATACACAGAAGAGGCTATTTTTTTATAATGAAATTGTAAAATGTAAGGCGGGCTGCTCAGTGGTGCAGTGGGTAGAACTGTTGCCTTGCAGCAAAAAGGTTGGATTCATGGCAGGGGTCTTTCTGCATGGAGTTTGCATGTTCTCCCTGAGCATGCGTGGGTTCTTTTCGGGTACTCCGGCTTCCTCCCACAGTCCAAAAATATGACTGTTAGGTTAATTGGCTTTTCTAAATTCTCCTTAGGTGTGAGTTAGCTGGGGATTGGCACCAGCAATCCAACTGGGGATAAGCGTGACGGAAAATAGATGGATGTAAAATGTAGCATGAATTTAAATACAAGCATAATTACTCTGATACCCCCCGATTAGATCTAATACCAACTTTTCCCTTCAGAGTCAACCTAAGTAATAAAATAAACATGGCTTCAACATAAACCAACTGACTGAAACAGGTCAATGATGTCACCAGTTATGTCCAACAGACTTGGTAACTATGGAGGAACTACAGAGATTCACAGTTTGTTGGAGAAATCCATTTACATAACCATTAATATTTTTGATTTAAAAAAATAGGAATATAATGAAGTGTGTATTATGTATGCTCTAAAAATCTGGCCTTGATGGCAAGACGAAAGCCATAAAAAGTTTTCTGTACTTTTCACCAGCCATTAAGGTGGAAACAAAAGACACAGGTATTTTTTGTGCAATGTTCATATGGAAATTATTCTATTGCCTCTAAGAATGGATTTTAGGGGGTCTTTGCGTGCATGTAAACTTTACCAAAAGGTGTCCCAGAGGCCCCTAAAATGAGTTGGGGAAAACAGGTAGATCTCCTCAAATCATGAAAAATAATGTCTCTTGGATGTATGCTCCAAAACCCACTGGAAGTCGGCCATTTTGGGTCATGTCGAAATGATGTTGAAAGATTTGGTATAAGGTTGAACTGGTAACATCCATTTTTGGACATTCTTTCTATGAGGAGGGATAGAGAAGGTGGCTATTTATTTACTGCATATCCTCTTCAAAACCTCATTTTGAATCTCCATCCATTTTTATAAAATATGCTTTTAAATGAAAAAAATATATATTATTCTTAAATTATTAATCAAGGGATACCGTAAATCCTCTAATATCGGTCTGTATTCCATTAGCAGCCGGTGTCGTGCCAAGGTAGTTATCCCTGCGAAAATTTGTATCCCCTCGTCGGGAGTAGAAAGAACAACCCGTGTTAACTCCGCCTCAATTCCAACGTGCAGAACTTGAAATTTGAAAGCTTTTACGTGTATGAAAGTTGAGCTTTACTGTTTTATTCTTTACTTCACATGTTATAGCAGACTATCGCCAGTGATATTGATTTAAAACTAATAATAAAACAAACGTTTGCTTGAAAGATGCTCGCTGACAGCAGTGTCTACTCTTTCCTCTGAAAGCAAACAGATCCTTGTTCTTTTCCTCACGTTCATTAAAAA